AAAAATATTTAAAAGTTGCATTTACAAAGTAACTAAGTAACTAGAATGACAATCAGTGGAGCGCACACATTCCCCTCATGAAACCACATTTAAATTCACGAGATCCAGACTTGTATTTATATCTGCACCAACTTGTACACACTTGTGTATGAATTACAGGCAGACCTCCTACTGTACAGCCCGGGCCTACTGTTACTTGGCCGTCTTAGGTTTCCGATCAGGTGTCAGCAGCAGCATGGATTGGCTTTGTGTAGTCAAAGAGACAAAATCGGCTTTCCCACTGAATGTATCATCTGTGGTGGAGCAGGTCATCTGTTATCGGTCTGTCCGTTTTTTGCTTTTTAAAATCAAGCTCAATAAATGATTCTCTGAGAAATCAGTGAGAACGTTGATAGAAAAAAAAAGTTATTGTATAACATGTGTTGCCTAAATTCAACTAGTGTAACAACCCATAATATAATAACATTTTCTTTCTGTTTTTATATTTTTTTTTTTGAAAGGCACAATTATGAAAATGTCTGATGACCATGTTTCTCTCTGCAGTGGTTCACTCAGCTCAGGGTCACTACGCCCACAAGCTTCTGAATGATCTGATGGAGAATTACTCCAGCGCCCTGCGGCCTGTGGAGGACACGGACAGAGCCCTCAACGTCACCTTACAGATCACCCTGTCTCAGATCAAAGACATGGTGAGTGATGTAGTTCACCTGTTCACTAAACTCTGAGGTCCTTGTTATATGAACTGTAAATTGTTATAAGGTTTCACTTATCAAAATTAATGACATTTCTTCATAATAAAGTGCAGGACTGTCCTCAACTGAAAAACTAAGTTCTTCTGCAGATGAATCCTTCATACTCACAAATGAGAGATGAGATGGAAGATGTGTCTTGTGTTAAATTTAAACTGGGATTTCATCATTGCAAAGACGGGGGGGGGGGGGGACGGATGGATGACAGGCAGACCTCCTACTGTACAGGCCGGACCTACTGTTACTTAGCCATCTTGGGTTTCTGATCAGGTTCAGTGCTGTGTCAGCAGCAGCATGGATTGGCTTTGTGTGGTCGTAGAGAGAAAATCAGCTTTCCCATTGAATTTATCATTTCTCTGGGGGACCAGGTCATCTGTTGTTGTTGGTCTGTCATGTTGGAGAGGACAAGAGTGAAGAGCCAGGCGAGAATAATGATGTGTGTGTATGTTCGTGTGCGTTTGTTTGGGTGTCCCATTACCCAAAGCAGTTATGCTTTCTTCAGTTCGCTCTGGCAGACCAAGGCCTCCTCCGCCATTCACCCCCATCCTGCAGTCGCTCTGCTCATCCATTTGATATTGACGGACAGGTCTGGATTTCAGCTGTAGTGATAATCTGAGGCGTATCTGTCCCCCTAATGCTCGTAGAGAGTTAATGAGCAACAGAGATATGAGAAGGATCTCTTTACTATGCATCCATTGTCTGAAGGTAGGTGTGTGTATTTGCAAGTGCATTTTCTCATTTGTGTGTGTGTGTGTGTGTGTGTGTGTGTGTGTGTGTGTGTGTG